AAAAAGTAAGAGTCTGATAGGGATGGTACGGTGTATGCTTAGAGATATGGAGGTACCAAAATCTTATTGATATTTTACTGTTTTTAACTTCTACCTTTTTGTGTAATCGTACATCGAGTCGTGTTCTTCAGCATGAAGCTCCTTTATAAGTCTTATTCTCTGAGCGGACACTTTTTTCGGTCCCCCCTCGTGTTTTTGGCTGCATTTATTTTGTTCAGGATCGGTCTCTTACTCGTTATAAACTTGATGATAAAGCGATTCATTGTGTCTTTATAGGCTATTATCATTAGTCTAAGGGGTATCAGTGTTATGATTCTGTCAGGCGACGTATGCATCATAGTCTAGATGTTGCCTTTCTTGACCATATTCCTTATTTTTCTTCTACTCCTATGTCAATCCCTCCAGTTGATGATACTCCCTTTGATTTTTTGTTACCATAGGAGCCAGAGTCATTGATCACTATTACTACAGAGTCATCAGTCTCTCCTCCTCCAGAGTCACTTATCCCTGTTAGTATCAAGTCACCAGTCTTTCTTCCTTTGCAGGTTTATGTTGGTCGCCTTTACTCTTATCCCTGGGCTGATGTCCCATCTACCTCAGGTGATGCAGGTAATACTTCTCAGTTCGTTGAACATATTGATGCACTTGTTAGTATTGATGAGATTGCAGGTACTGAGTCAGTTATTTTATCTAATGAGACATTGTCAGTGGAGGATGATGATTTAGGGCGTCGTTATCTGTGGTGTGATCACCATCCAGTTGTTCATTATGGTTGGACCGCCAAGACTTTATATTCAGATCTCTGCTTATGTTTCTTGTGATAATCTGTCTTCTACATTTCGAGCTTATAGCATAGTCTTATCAGATACATCGATTCCTCGCTCCGTTCCAGAGACTATGCGAGAGCCCCAGTGGGTTCTTGCCATTCAGACGGAGATTGACGCTTTTCAGTGTAATCATACATGGGATCTTGTCTCTTTATCTTCAGGGAGGACGACTGTTGGCTGTCGATGGATTTACACCCTGAAATTTATTGCGGATGGTACTATTGATCATCATAAGGCTAGACTTGAGACGAAGGGCTTTACTCAGATATTAGGTCGTGATTTTGGTGCTATCTTTGCCTCCGTGGCCAAATTGACTACTGTTCGATAGATTATTTCTTTGGCTGTGGAGTACTCTTGGCCTCTTCATCAGTTGAATGTAAAGAATGTATTTCTTCACGATAATCTAGATAAGATTATTTATATGGATACACCATGGGCTTTTGTGGTGAGGGGGAGTATACTGAAAAGGTATGTCGATTGCGTAAGTCTCTTTATGAACTGAAACAGTCACTATGAGCTTGATTTTCTCGCTTTAGTGGTGTAGTTATATGTTTAGGGTTCACCAGATGTCATTTTGATCATACTTTCTTCATTCGATAGGATACTTCTGGAAAGTGTGTCTTCCTTTTGGTATATGTTGATGATATTATTATTACTGTAGATGATGTTTCTAGGATTGCGCAAGTTAAGGTAAACCTTGGAAAGACCTTTGATGTGAAAGATCTTGAATTTCTGCGATACTTTCTTGGGATTGAGGTTGCCCGTAGCAGCAGGGGTATTGTTCTTTCTCAGAGAAAGTATGTTCTGGATCTTCTCTCAAACACTAGAATGCTGGGGGTGCAAATCGGCATCATCACCTATGATTTTAAACTTGAAGCTTATTGCTGAAGGTGAAGAGTTGAGAGATTCAACTGTCTATTAGAGATTGGTAGGTAGACTTATCTACCTAGCCAGCACTAGGCCAGACATTGCATTCGCTGTCAGCCGAGTTAGTCCTAGCCTCATCTTGATGTAGTTTATCATATCCTTCGGTACCTCAAGTATTGTCTTGAACTTGGATTGTTCTATGCATCAAGATTTCAGACTGGTTCTCTAGCCTGTTATTCAAATTCAGAATATAGAGGAACGTGTAAAGGTCGATCTACTTAGGGTTTCTGTGCTTTTCGAGGTGCTCATCTTATCTCTTGGAAGAGCAAGAAGCAATCAGTTGTCTCTTGCTCGTCAGCAGAGGCAGAGTATCGAGCACTGACACTTGGCATATGTGAGATTATCTGTCTACGATCGATTCTTGGCGAGTTGGAATTTCCAGTGACTTCTTCATCTATATTATATTGTGATAATCAATCTGCTATTTA